GATCACCATAAAGGTCTTTATCCTGGTGGTCTTTACATTGAGTAGGCTGAGGAAGAGGATCAAGAGGGTTGGGTCTTCTATCTCAAGGGTGGGAGAGGCAGAAGAGGTAATGGAGGTGGATGGGGTATCATACTTGATGTAATATTTATGGAAAGAAAATCTGTGTATAAGTAGACCCACGTAGTTCAGATCTCTGTTGTTTAAGGGTTGGTTATAATAGCCTTTAAACACATACAGCAAAAATAGAAGTTAAAGGAGAAACAGATAAAATTTAATCACACCCGACTTTGCATTCATTTTAAGCACCTGTGGAATATTTACAAAAATTGACTATATACTATGCTGAAAAGCAAGTCTGAACAAATATTAAAGGATGACTATTATACATAATACTTTTGCCAATTACACTGGGAAGCTAGAAATCAAAACTAAATATAACTAGGAATTATATGTTGAAATCAGAATAATATATATTTAAATCTTTAGTAGATTTCAAATTACCTTGACTTCGTGGGATACAACTAAAGCTAGCTTAGAGATACAGGTATTGATCGACTTAACGACCTACGCAACTTTATGACCACAATCGCTAGCCACGACTGCTCCGCGTCTGGCAGCGCAAACGTTGCCCAGCTGGGCGTACGACAGTGCGGACCAGCTTCTGGCAGCACTACCATCTCCGCATGCACCATTTCAACTGTACATATAGCCTACTCAACTTACGACCAAATCGTGTTACGACTGTTCCGGGTCCCGACCGTGATCGTAAGTCGAGCAAAATTTTAGATGTATATGTTAGAAAAGAAGGAATACCAGTAGGCAAAATACTCATTTCAAAGAATTGGAAAAAGAAAAGCAGATTAAACAAAGGAAGTAGAAGGAAGGAAATAATTAAATGAAGAGTAGAAATCGATTAAAGACAAACACAAAATGAAATAATTCAATATATTAGCTAGCTATAGCTGCATTATAATAAATTACTCCAAAAACTTAAGTAAACCACTTACTGAGTTCCTGAGTCCTTCTTCCATTCAGCTGTAGGGTCAGCTAGGTGGTTCTATTTCTGGGAGTTGCCTGGTTGCAGGCATTGATGATGACTGGCTCACTATCTTTCATTCCCCAACAAGTTAGTCGAAGCTTGTTTACATGGGGGAAAAGGGTTCTAACAGAGTAGAGTAGAACCACAGAAGACTGACATTTGGGCATATCATTCTTACCTCTCCATTGTGTTGGCCAAAGCAAGTCACAATGCTAGCCTAGATTCAGGAGATGGGAGGAGGTACAGATTCCCTTTGCAGATGGCATGGACAAAGTGAGGGGCAGAGAATTGTGACCATTTTTGAAATCAGTCTACCTCAGTCAACAAAAGCAGGTTCTTCTAAAACACTTGTGAAGGCTGATCAAGAAACAGGAAGATACAGGTAGCCAGTCAAGAATTAAAAAATGAGGCATAGTTTCAGATCTTATAGGTATTAAAAATAAAGTTAGACATATACTTTAACAAATTTGAAAATTTAGACAAAATGGACACAACTTAAAAATTGACATGTGAAGGAATATAAAATCTGGATTAAAGAAATATTTAGGGGAAGAAATTCAAATGCTGCGTTTGTACTGAAATACACAATTTTTTCTTGATCATTTTTTCCTAAGCAATACAGCATAGCAGTGATTTACATAGTATTTACCTTGTATTAGGTATTTGAAGTAATCTGAAGATGATATCAGTTATATTGGAGGTCGTACATAGGTTATGTGCAGATATGACACCATTTTATATAAGGGACTTAAGCATCTGTGGATTTTGGTATTTGTGTGGGGACCTGGAACCAGTCCCCCTGCTCCACCCGGCAACTGAGCGGTGATTGTATAGATACGTATTTATGACAGTGATGACACTGCAGAGCAGTTGGAAAAGGGCAGTCTTTTCAATAACATTTGGATATTCATGTGAGAGAAAAAGAAAAATTATCCATAGACATCAATTCCTGGTACACTGTAGATGTAAATGTGAAAAAGTTAACAATTAAAGCTTCTAAAAGATAACACCAGAGGATATCTTTGTGACCTTGGGGTTGGCAGAGACTTCCTTTAAACAGGACACAGAAAACACTAGCCATGAAGATGTTACTGAAAATTTGAACTACATTAAAATAAAAAACTTTTCAGTTATCATAAGAAGCCATTAAAAGGGAAAAAGACAAGCCACAGGATTGGAAAAATACTTACCAGTTGTATAACCACAAAGTAGAAATCAATAAGGAAAAAATAATACAATAGGAAAAATGTAGGAAACTTCAAGTGTCCTTGAAAAAATTCATATCTAAATGGCCAGTAAACCTGAAAAAATGCTCAGCTTTGTTAGTAATCAGAGAAATGCTAATGGAAACATTTAATACATAGACTAGAAAGGTTAAAATATAAAAACACTGATAATAAATATTGGAGATGAAGTGGGCCCAAAGAAATTTTTATATAAATATATACTACTATGCTGGGGATAAAAATATGTACAACCATTTTAGAAAATAATTTAGTACTACATACTAAAGATTTTTTTTTTTTAAATCATCTTTTTTTGACCTGCAGTCTTTCTCAAGGCTCAGTCTTGTCCTGCTTCCTTACCTTGTCCTGTCTCTCATGATAGAGCCTTTCCTGAATCTCTAGTGAATGTTGTTTCAGTGTGAAACAATGAAAATTGTAAATTAGGAGCTTGTGTTCATAAATAGATATGCTCTTCCACTGCCAACCTTAATTTGGGTTGACCACCTAAAACACCAGGCTTTGAAATGAAAGTCACATAATGAATCACTAAATTTTCTCTGGAGTAGTTCAGTTTTTCTAGAGAAAAAAAACTAGCCCATTACCTACAAGTCAGATGCCTGGCTCTTGGTGTTCTGTGGGCAGTGATGGTCAGTTGTATGTATTACTTCCACCTTTTTGTTCTTGTTTTCTGCAAAACTTAATGTCTGCATGTCAAGTCTCTCTGGAGATCTGTAGGGCAAATTTGCTATTGATCACATCTTCTAGAAATGACATTCCAAGCTTTATTAAGAGTAAGAGCCTGAGGTGTTTTTTTAAAAAAGGTAGGCTCTTACCTACTATTACAGACTTTTCACTGGACCTTGTGTATGTATTGTGCTATACACATACATATCTGCAGATGCAAATCACTGTAGCTCTGTCAGATACTATTATCCCCATTCTGTAATTGAGGCTGATTTGATTTGATTTTCAGATTTTTTTTTCTTTCTGGGATACAGTCTTCCTCTGTTGTTCAGGCTGGAGTGCAGTGGCGTGATCTCAGCTCACTGCAACTTCCATCTTCTGGGTTCAGATAATTCTCATGCCTCAGCCACCCAGGTAGCTGGAATTACAGGCATGCACCACCAAGCCTGGCTAATTTTTGTAGTTTTAGTAGAGACGGGGTTTCCCCATGTTGGCCAAGCTGGTCTTGAATGCCTGATGTCAAATGATCCACTCACCTCAGCCTCCCAAAGAATTGGTATTACAGCCACCGAGCCAGCCGATTTTCAGATTCCTTATTACTGTCTTCATAATTAAGCTTGAATACCAGCTAGAATCTATGTGCTTTCAGAGTTTAAGCACATAATCATAGTATACTACTTGAGTTTATTTAAATTGGGGATGTAGGAAGTTTAAGCTGACGAGTTTCTAAATTTGAAGTACGTTGTTGAAGTGGATCATGGTGGCGGTTTAGTAGGGTAAAGAGGTAAAGTTACTATATACTGAAGCACTGGGCAAAGATGAGGGGCTTTATTTGAACTTAAGAGGTATTATGGATAAATTTCAGAATCTAGGATCTTGAAGAGCTAAATTAAGTGCTTATAGATCAGTCTGTGAGTCTCAACATAGGGTAAAAGAAGTTGTATGAAAATCTCCTCAGAGACTTTCTTCAAACAATATGGGCATTTTGCCTACCACCTTTCATTTGAGAATCACTTTTCTAAGATGTGGCAATGCGAAAGTAGAGCCAGGTGAGTACAGAAGATTGCAGAAGTATCCAGCTTCTTTAGCCCTGATGGCTGTGGATTTTCTAGCATGTTACTTTTAAGTAATGATGTACTAACAGTTGAATAAATGCAGGAAAAAAGTAGGAGACTATATGCATAAGAGTCAGTACCTATTTGGTTGAATAAATAAATGAAAACCACCCATGGATTTTTGTGGAACTGATGGCAAACACTTATATTTTGGTCTTTTATGCAGATGGCATACAAATGAGGAAAATTTACTGTTCACTATTCATCCTATTCTTCCTATTGGCCTTAAAGAAATAACTTGTATATATGAATACTAGGAGTTTCTGTTGAGGGATGGTAATTTTTTTTATTAATTGTACAATTTTTTATTTATATAATTATTGATATCACTGTCCCATTTAGTGATATTCAGAGTTTAGGCTTCTTACAAGTTAAAGGTAGAATGGAATATATACTCTTAAGACACATTTAGCATAGCCCACCCATAGTTTTCAGTTACATAATTCTCTGAACAGTTGCTTTGGAGAAAGTGTAACTTTTCTTAGGTAAATAAAAGAAGACTTCCCTCCAAGGATTTCGGTAGAAAGGACAGTTGCTAACAATTTCTTCAACACTGTCATTACAAAGAGACAGTTGGGAATTTTGTGGAAGGGACTTGTATTCTTGGCTGGCGTCTGATATTTTGTCAAATTCTTAGTATTCTCTGTTTTAGGTTATGTGTTGATGGATAGCTGTATACTGTTTCCAATTCATAGTTTGTGTTAATACATTTGAAAACGTAGTGCTAAACAATGAGCTATTGTAATTAGACCAGAGACTTAGCAAGACATTCATAAGGGCTCTAGATTTTATTTCAACTTAGTATTAAAAAGATACTTAACTTGAGTAAGTAAATATAGATAGACTTTATATTTTAAGAGCTGTAATTCCAACATGTGAATAATGTGTGGTGACCTTTTTTTTTTTTTTTTTTTTTTTGTTTTTTTGTTTTTCCAGTTTAATTTTGTTGGGCGAATTCTTGGACCTAGAGGACTTACAGCCAAACAACTTGAAGCAGAGACAGGATGTAAAATAATGGTCCGAGGCAAAGGCTCAATGAGGGATAAAAAAAAGGTAAGTCCTTGAAAATGGGCCAAGTCTTTATGTGAATAACTTACTATACTTTTACATCCTCCTAATGATCAAATTTCCAGATTTTTTTTTGTGCCTAAAACACTATACTCCATGTTAGAAACTTTTAAACTTTTTAAAGATGTTGTCTGATTTTCCCTTGTCAATTTTATCTTTTACTTAGCAAATTAAAATATCAGTTCATCATGTTACCTTACTTTGTTATTTACATTTGGGAAGCTGCTGATTTGGAAATTAGACCGTAATGTTGTGTGTTAACATATATAACTAAAAGTTTGAAAAATCTAAAATATTTCTCTTGATGAGATTTAAGAATCGTCAGATAACTTTGGTTGTATGTCAAATCACTGGGAGTGTTAGAAGATAGCAATCTATTAAAAGAAAGGCTGTCACTAGCCATATTAGATACATTTTGGGTTTCACCAATATTTTGTGTTGATTTTAACACATTTTAAAGTATATTGTTTTAGTTTGTGTGTGTGTGTCTGTGTGTGTGTGTCTCTCTGTGTGTGTTTTTCTCCTGGCATTTCTTCTTTTGCTGATTTAATTAGTAAAGACCCAACTATCTGAATATTATTGTTAGGAAGATTTTATTTACCTAGTTTGTTTTATCCAGCAATACTATGAAGCAGGATACTTTTGAATTTCTATCCTTGTACAAATTGGCAGATTAAAAAAAAAAAGATTTTGATGGCCAAAGATTAAAAGTGTTTTAGGAAGGTTTGTTTTTGTTTGTTAATTAATTTATTTTTTTAAAATACATTGACTTGAAGGGGCTATCTAGGAATAGTCTTTGGTTATTGTGTTGTATACCATGTGCACTGAATTGCTTTGTGGAACTTAATGAAATAAATACCAAACCCACAGGGTAGCTGATAAACTTGTTTTCTGAGCCCTCTGCCTTGTATCTTTTAAGCCCTTACATAGGCTGACTGGATCTCGTTCATTTTTGCTCCTCATTAGTGATTTAGTTGCCAAATTTAGACAGAATGTTCTCCTAATATTATTTAAAAGTCTTATAATCCATTCTTTGTCAGCTGTGTTTAAAGGTATTTTCATGGGAGTCTCTGAGTTCTCCTTGAGCATTTTTAGATGTTGTCCTAAATGTTTTTTTAGACTCTTAAGAAAATTTGTGCATATTTTGAATCAGCTGAGTGATAATCTTTTCAAAAGAATGTTGCCATAAAGTTTTGGTTCTGATGTTTGGACTTAGGATTATGTGGGCATTAAGTAATACTAGTTTAATTGCCTCTGGACAATGAATGAAGTCTTGGCAATTGACAGATACATAAATCTGCATGAAAAGATTATTATATATTCATCAGTTAAGCTATTCTGTCAGCTAGTTAACAAGCCCCTTTTTTCCCTCTTTTGAGTTTCTATGATTTTTGTAGTAATGGCCCTCTACTCACCTTGCTCACTCTTTCAAATCACAGACAACTAGGATTAGAGCTTGTAACTGTGTGATTATACTGTTGTACTCTTATAAGTGTTTATAATAAAAGTAAAGTCAGAATGGAATGCTTGGCTATTTGGTAAAGAACATGAAAAGAGATGGAAGCAAAAAGAGGTACTGATGTAAATAATAAAGATAGCTCATTGAGATGTATTTCAGGAGTTCAAAAGGAAAAGCTATTTGCTTTAAGCTTTTCTATTGAGTTGTCATATATATATGATATATATATATGATATATATATATATGTACTAAGAAAGCTAGAAAAAATTTGCTGGTTGCTTGTTTTAGTTTTAACAAAAATGTTATGATGGGAATGTTGTGTGCTGATCTGAATCCTTTGCTACACTGGTAAACTCAGTGAGCGCCTACTATGGCTATTTTATGGAGTATTTGTTTTCTTGGTGTTTGGTGAGTACCTGGCACAGAGTGTAGGCACTTAAAAAGATATTTGTGAAGGGAGTGACCAGTTCAGGTAATAAATGAATGGCTTAGGTGCACCTTCCCACTTGTTTCCTGAAAAGGTTTGGTAAATAAAGAAAATTATAAATGCTATGTACTGCTAATGCTTTGGGGAAGATGGTAATACACTAAGCTACTGGTTTTAAGCAACTAAGTTAATATGCCACTTTAATTTTCATTCTCTTGGATTGTTATTATGAAAGTCTTGTCTGTACCAGCCAAGTTTTATTATTACTGTTTTGTAAATGAAGAGACCAAAGCCTCAGGGAGGTTGAGTAATTTGCCAAAGGTCACATGCCAAAATGTGGCAGTCAAAATTTGAAACTAGGCTAGGCACAGTGGCTCACACCTGTAATGTCAGCACTTTGGGAGGCTGAGGTGGGAGGATCCCAGGAGTTGAAGACCAACTTGGGCAACATAGTGAGACCCCCATCTCTACAATAAAACTTAAAAAAATTAGCCAGGTATGGTGGCATGCACCTGTAGTCCCAGCCTTCTAGGTAGACTGAGGTGGGAGGATGCTTGAGCACAGGAGTTGACACAGCAGTAAGCTATGGTTGTATGCCACTGCACTCCAGCGTGGGCGACAGAATTAGACCCTGTCTCTGGAAAAAAGAAAATTGAAACTGAAGTTTGAGTTCTATCTGTGGTATACTAGCCGTGTTAATTATGACCCATTTCTTTTTTTTTTTTCTTTTTAAGATGGGGTTTCACCATGATGGTCAGGCTGGTCTTGAACTGCTGACCTCAGGTGATCCACCCACCTCAGCCTCCCAAAGTGCTAGGATTACAGGCGTGAGCCACAGCGCCCGGCCTAATGATGAACCATTTCTAAGAGTGATAACTTTAGACATATTAGAACAACTTGAATATTGAGTATTATAAACTTTGACTACCATTTCACACACCACTCAGTATACTTCTGACACCAGATATGTGAGGGTTTCTCCCCACAAACCAAACAAATCCCCAGGAAACACCATCTAGATGTCCTCTAATTCAGTTCAAAACTGGGGATAATGTCACATACTACAGATTGAGAGCTCAGACCTGTAAGACTGTCTCCACTTCAGATGCCAGCTGCAAGCTCCAGTGATGACCTGTGCTTTTGACTGACCAGCAAGTCCCACCTCGGGTTCAATTAATTTGCTAGAGTAGTTCACAGAACTCAGGGAAAAACACTTATTTATTATAAAGGATGTTACAAAGAATACTGATGAACAACACATGGAAAATATACATAGGGCAAGACGTGAGAAGGGGCTCAGAGCTTCCATCCCTTCTCCAGTGTGCCACCCTCCAGGTATCTTCATGTGTTTGTTCAGCTATTTGGAATCTCTCCAAACCCTGTCCTTCTGTTTTTTGTTTTGTTTTGTTTTTAAATAGAGATTTCATTATGTAGTCATGACTGATTACATCATTGGCCATTGGTGATCAACTCAACATTAAGCCTTTCTCCCTTCTCTAGAGCTTGGGAAATGAGGCTGAAAGTTTTGGCTCTCTGCTCACTTGATTGGGGTTTCTCTGGCAATCAGCCTTGATCTTATGACTAATCCAGGGACCACACCCATTTGTCACTTCATTTTACAAAAAGACACAAAACAGCTTCCGGACCACCACAATAAGGGAATATTGCAATAAAGCTAGTCACACATTTTTTTAGTTTCCTAGAGCATATGAAAGTTATGTTTATACTATACTGTAGGCTGTTAAGTGTGCAACAGCATTATGTCTAAAAGATATACGTACTGGTTGGGTGTGGTGGCTCACACCTATAATCCCAGCACTTTGGAAGGCCGAGGTGGGCAGATCACGAGGTCAGGAGACCGAGACCATCCTGGCCAACATGGTGAAATCCCATCTCTACTAAAAATAAAAAAATTCACTGGGTGTGGTGGTGCATGCCTGTAATCCCAGCTACTGGGGAAGTTGGGGCAGGAAAATTGCTTGAACCCAGGAGGCAGAGGCTACAGTGAGCCGAGGTTGTGCCAGCTGCACTATAGCCTGGTGACAGAGTGAGACTCTGTCTCAAAAAAAAAAAAAATACACCATAGTTTAAAAATACTTTATCACTAAAAAACTGCTAATGATCATCTGAACCTTCAGCAAGTTTGAATCTTTTGCCGGTAGAAGGTTTTGCCTGGATATTGATGGCTGCTGACCAGGGTGGTGGTTGCCGGTGGTTGAGGTGACAGTGACAACTGCTTAAAATAAGAACAATGAAGCTTGCCTCGTGGATTTACTTTTCCTTTCACAAAAAATGTCTTTGTAGCATGCAGTGCTCTTTGATAGCATTTTACCCACAGGAGAACTGTTTTTAATATTGGACTCAGTCCTCTCAAATCTTGCTGTTGCTTTTTAAATTAAGTTCATGTAATATTCTAAATTTTTTATTGTCATTTCAACAGTGTTCACAGTATCTTAACCACAAATACATTCCATCTCAAGAAGTCACTTTCTCTGCTCATCCGTAAGAAGCAACTCCTGATAAATTTTTATCATGAGATTGCAGCAATTCAGTCACATCTTCAGGCTCCACTTCTAATTCTAGTTCTCTTGCCATTTCCACATCTGAAGTTTCTTCCACCACCATACTCTTGAACTCCTCAGAGTCAAGGGTTGGAATCAACTTTTTCCAGACTTCTGCTAAAGTTGATATTTTGACCTCTCTCCGTGAATCATGAATGTTTAATGTTTAATGGCATTAAGAATGGTGATTCCTTTCCAGAAGGTTTTCAATATACTTTGCCCAAATTTATCAGAGAAATCACTATCTTTGACAGCTATAGGCTTACGAAAGACATTTCTTAAATAATAAGGCTTGAAAGTCTAAATTACTCCTTGATCCATGGGCTACAGAATGAATGTTGTGTTAGCAGGCATGAAAACGACATTCATCTCCTTGTACATCTCCACCAGAGGTTTGGGGTTACCAGGTGCATTGACAATGAGCAGTAATATTTTGAAAGCAATCTCTTTTTCTGAGCAGTAAGTCTTAACAGTAGGCTTAAAATACTCAGTAAACCTTTCTGTAAACAGATGTGCTGACATTCAGGCTTTGTTGTT